ATTTCGCAACACTTGATTATTGTTAAAAACTTTTAACTAACTTAACTTAAAATATAATGGATCACTCTCTAATGTTTCTCCAAACCCTACTTCTTCTACTCCCTATCTCATTTTCTTGTTTAACTTAACCTCCCAAAAGAAAATTCCTGACTCCTTCACTATTTACATCCTTTCCATATGGAGGCTAAACTTATACTCCAAGTCTCTAATGATCATATTAGGAGTTTTGATGATGTTTGTTACTGATGGCATGAACCACCAGACTGGCTGCAAATTTTTGTAATGAAATATTTCACTTATCAAAAATAAAAAAAAAACAAAAGTGTCCCAATTGTGAATATCGTGTAAGACTAGTGGAATGACAGATTTACAAGTTTTTTGAGAATATTTCAAACCTAAATAAAGTTTGTAGGTTTTCGATGTGTCTTTTTGATGGTCTCACTTTTGTCACTACTCATTAGTGGCTTCAAATTGGGCTTGTTGTCTGTGTGTAGGGGAAGGTCGTTGGGGAGGTGAGCAGAGCATCTCTTCAATTACATGGGTGTTGTTTCTTAATTTTCTGTTAATCTTATCAATGAATGAACCACAAAGAAATTCCAAATTCCAGTAAATCGATCCAGCAGGCAGTTCAGTAATAAGGAAATTCTAGTAGATACAGACTCTCGTAATTAGACATTGATGTAGAGAAGAGAAAGTGGCAGTAGAGGCATGCATATCTGATAGTGGACACATGCATGGTTTGAATCTACTTTCGATATTTCCTTCCACAGCAAACTTAATTCCCAGAAAACATGAAACGATAAGGCCCCTCTCACATGTTGGAGCGCTGGCTAGCTGCTAGTCTAATGACTGTGGTGCTGTCCCCTGTGGAGGATGATCAATATTTATTTGTCTGGATCTCTTGCACTCGCTTTGGTGCATTGCATGCCCGCTCTGGTCCTCTAACGTCTACACTGCTAATTTGCCATACGCAAGTGGCATCTTGGCTCCTGTGTGCAAGTCTTTAAATAACCTGTTTGGGGCCCTCGGTGTTGGTGGCTAGAATCATGCTCATCCACTTGGTCTATTGGGTCAATGCGTCCGTACATATTAAGGGGTGTTTTATTCTGTAAACAAGAAATCTGTGGGTGTGAATTGATTCATACCACAGTACTGTGCCAGGGATCAATTCATATCACACCACAGTACACAATTATTCTGATATGTGGATAAATTGTATGGATTTAATTAGTCAATACCCACAGTTGTGTTTTGTAGGTCTGTGGTATGGACTTTTTGATTTCATACATCTTACATGCAATTTTTTTAAACAATTACACAATCGATTATAAATAAGTAATTATACCCAATAGCCCAAATTAATTTGAAAATATCATCGATAAATTTATATTAACCAATACAAATTTATTTTAACAAAAAATAAGTAAAAAATTAATTTTAAAAATAACAAATAGAAAACTTCATCTCCTTGGGAACCACCCTATATATCTTTCCTTATATCAGAACTAGTAGTGAAGTAACAATTAGGGTCTATTTATTTTCTCTTAATACCTTTTATCTCTTATCTATTAATCACTTTAAGAGTTTAAGAGGTATTAAGAGTGTTTAGTTCTCATTCTATTTTTAGACTTAATGTACTATCATGTACACTAGCAATAATGCTCACTTTTGTTTTTCAAAAATACCTTAAAAGGCTGCTCTTTTTTTGCATGCTATGATTACCCATCATCATCATCATCATCATCATCATCATCATCATCATCATCATCATAATAATAATAATAATAATAATAAACTATTATTATTATTATTATTTTAATGATATATGTATTATTTAATTGCTTTAATTAATCATTCTATTAATTAAAAATTATTTATTTTAATTAATCATTTGAATAATTAATAATAACAATAAATTATTAATCATTAACTAATTACTTTAATTAATAATTATGTAAACACTTATTACTTATTTATTAATTAATTAATGTTCAATTCTTTAAAGATATTGAATAATTTATAATTTTTATAAATTTAACTTTTATTAATTATTTTGTTCATTTAATTAATTGTTAATTAATATGTTAAATAGTTAAATAAAATTTTTCATATCCAAGGTTAAAATGGTTAATTGTCATGTTTTAGAGCTCAACATTTAGATTTCAGAACAACATTCTTTACACTTGGACTTTAGAACCAAGAAAAACTCGCCAACTCCAGTACACCTCTAAAAGCAATCATTATAGTTTCAGAGGCATTCAAACTTCAAAATTTAGTGCAAACGAGCAAACCCTTATTCATCAAAATTTTATATTTCTTCTAGTTCTTCACATATAAAATAATAGAAAAATAATTTTCTTTTCTTTTTTAGTTATTGAGCTTCAATTGATATGTTGTGAGAAATACATAAATCAATTTCTTAGGATCAAATCCCACTACCACTAGGGCTAGGGTTAAGGGTTTAGGGGATAGACTACTCCCATTGTATAGCCATAGCTATAAATGAGATCAATAATCAAGTTAAAAAATAATTTTAAAATTGAATTGACGAAGATAACCAAAGGCTAATGTTAAGTGCTTTTTTACTACATTTTATTATTGAAACAAAAGAATCCATGAAACAAAACTATATTAAATTAATAAAAAAAAGAGAGAAAAGTCTAATAACCAATGGAAAGGAGAAATGGTTTCTTTGGAGTTTTATAGAAGAAGACTGGTTCACCCCATGTACTAGGTGGGCAAATTTGGGTCCAAGCTAGTGTTCATATTTAGAGTTGGCCCTTAATTTAACCCAATCCATTTAATTTACTCCCCTACTTTATTAGAGAGAGAGAGAGAGAGTCAAAATGGGATCAAGAGAGATTTAATGGGAAGAGGAGATGTTACAAACATTGAATATTAAGGTGGATGAGAGAGAGAGAGAGAGAGAGAGAGAGAGAGAGAGAGAGAGAGAGAGAGAGAGAGAATGGGTTAGGCCTGTTCATGGGTCGGGCCGGGCTCGGGCCGGGCTTTTACTCTTCATTAACAGAAATATGTTAGGCCCGAGCTCGGCCCGACCAAGGGGCCTACAACTTGGGCCCGAGCCCGGCCCTAATAAAAAGCCCGAAATCCGATCTCGAAGCCCGACCTAATAAAAAAAATTAGAAAATTTCCCTATTCAATAATCAATATAAATCAGAATTTATTTACATTAAAAAAATATATAAATTTAAAATTTATTTATATTAAAAAATATATATATATATATAAAGAAGGGAAAGAGGATGTGGAGAAGAAGAATTTGGTTGGAAAAAGAAGGGAAATGGGTGAAAAAAAGAGGGGTATTCAACTAGGGTTTTTAGGTTTATTTATAGGTCGGGCCGGGCTGGACTATTTTGGCAAATCCCGAGCCTGGCTCGAATTTATTGCGGGTTAGGCTTTTTGGCCCGAGGTTAAGCCCGCAGGCCTATATACCTATTCAAGCCCATTCGAAGACCGGGCCAAGCCAACCGGCCCGTCGGGCCTCCCGACTCATGAACAGGTCTAGAATGGGTATTGGGATGGGGCCTATATATTGGCAATGCAAAAACCGAGGATAGCATCGACAAAACAGTATTACAACCATCCTAAATAACATTTCCAAGCGCTAATTAATCAAAGCATGGGGTCAAGGATCTAATCTAATGCCAGTCTTTTCTAAACCGCCCAAGGATGGATAATGATAATCTTGGGTTGTTCAGTCAATGACAATGACTAAAGCGCAGAGTTGCGTTCATTTTATGACTCTTGAATGACATTTATTTTATTTTTTGTTTTCTTCCCACTTCATCTTTATATTTTCCAAGCAATGATCAAACATAAATAATAAAGGATTCGGCCTACTATGACCTAAATAAAATTAAAATTTTGAGAAAGTAGTAATATTATTATATTAAAAGGATATGAATTGAATTTAAATAAAGATATAAGAAGGGAAGGGAAGGGAAGGGAATGACGATATGATACAGGATTCATGTAATTGGGACCATGACAAAGCTTAGATGATTATTTGGGGAATTTATTAGTACCAATTACCAAACATAACACATCCAAAATTCCTTATTTGTGTGAGCTACTAATGAAACGATTGATAATTAGATGGGGGTTGGGAGCGCTCTATCTGGAACTGGCCGACTGGGAGGCTGTCAACCAGAGTTACAACTTACCATGGCGGCAAAGGGGAAGGGGAAGGGCCTTTTCGTCAATTCATCTGCGAGAGGGAGAAGGATAATAACAGGGGGCAAAAGGCCTTTTCGTCCATCCACACCCCAGAGGCCCAGAGCATAGAGTTTTTTCGCTTCAACAGAGCAAGAGCCCATCACTCATTCACTATTGTCGCTGTTACAGTGTTACTTCTCTCTTTTCATTTTATTTTGGATTGGATTTGGGCTATAATATATATATATATATATATATATATATATATATATATATATATATATGCTCTTATATATATATATATCACTGAGTCACCTCACCCATCGTCCATTTACACCTGCATTCTATCATATATTAAAAACATTTCCCATTTCCCATTTCCCATTTCCCATGAATAATAAACGCAAGTACGATATATATTTGCGATGTACGGCTAGGACATGCTGTAAAATGGGTGTGAGGCGCGCTTAGTGAGTAGCAGATCCGGACTGGAAGACAAAATATATGCTCACTGAGTCACTGGGCTGGGTTACCCCCTCACGAGTCACGAGTGAACACGCCAATGTTCAATACAAAATTACAAGAGAGGTAACCCAGCCCGATGTGCAGGAATTTGTCTCCAGCTCATCTGGTTCCCGCTCGGAGATATCCCATGCCCATGCCAATAATCCTATATTCCTAATTTCCTATGTTATGGTATCCAGTATCCTTCGTTCCTTTCGTGGGTTCCGTATAGTGGCATTACAGAAATTTTGAGTTCAATTTTGTGCATTTTCATAAGTTTAATTTTTTCCACTAATAAATGACCAGCCTGTAAGCCTGAGTCATCCCATGATTTCATGATCCAGCAAAGAACGTCGTTCGTCCTCCCTTCCCCCCAACCTGTTCTTTTGCGGGAAGACAAAACCAAAAAAAAAAAAAAAAAGATACCTTCTCTTTCTCTGATTCTTCTTTAATCCGATTGACCGAAAATCTCAGGAAAACAAAATCGCCTGGAAATAAGAAGCAATAGAAGATCCTCTCGGTGTCGTATCTCGATTGGATAAAGTTTTCTTCTGTTTTTTTGCTTCTCTTTTGAATTTAGATGTTCGGGAAGATGCTGCCATTCAAGGAAAAGTTTAGGGCTTTCATCAATAACAGATGGCTTGTGTTCGTTGCCGCAATGTGGATTCAATCCTGCGCGGGGATTGGCTATCTGTTTGGGAGTATTTCCCCCGTGATAAAGAGCTCTCTCAACTACAATCAGAGACAGATAGCGAGATTGGGTGTAGCCAAGGATCTTGGGGATAGTGTTGGCTTTCTGGCTGGGAGTTTGTGTGAGAGCCTGCCCATTTGGGGAGCTCTTCTCGTCGGTGCATTACAGAACTTTATTGGGTATGGGTGGGTTTGGCTGATTGTAACGGGTAGAGTGCCGATATTGCCTTTGTGGGCGGTAAGTTGAGCTGTGTCGTATATTTCCTATAATTGTTATTATTATTATAATATTATTATTTCTTGTTTTCTTCATTTTACTTATTTCGGTGACTTTCTTTTTACTCTGAAACATGAAATATTTCTTTCCTTTTCTTCTCATTTTCATTTTCTTTTGGAAAATTATTCTTTAATAACCCGTATGTTGGTTGCTATGTAAAATGAACTACCTCTACTATACCTGAAATAGTTGTTGAATTTGATGATTTAAATAAACAGAAGGAGGTAGCCTAATTTCATATATGAATGAAGAAGTTAGTCATTTATCATTTAAAACGAATATTTATTATTATTATTATTATCATCATCATCATCGTCATCATTATCATTATTATTACTATGAACGATATCTTGGTTAGGAATCAGGATCACTAATTGTTGTAGTTTTAAGAATCTAGGTTCATGAAAAAGGGTTAATTTGGGATGAATTTGATACATGGAAGACCCTACTGCTATCACAAAAGTAGTTATCCTTTTCTTAATCTGTTTTTTTTTTTTGAGAGTTTTCTTAGTGGTAATAATGTTGGTGATGGAAATTATCATGGTGATGATATAAATAATTATTATTAGTCTGATGAAGGGGTTTGTTGCCTGAATTTGGGTAGTTGTTCTCACTTCCAGATGACATAGTTGCTTTATTTTGTCAACTGGATTCCTTTCTTAATTGGATTTATTAGTTTGATTTTGTTAATAAGTAACAAATTGAACTAATAGTTTTTAGAAGTGGCTTCTAATTTTTCTTTTTTCCTTTTATGGAAAAATCAGATTCACTTCTTCCAAGGTATTAAATTGCTACAAATTTGACAAGTTGGATAAATGAGGAAAGCTAATAATTTGCCATTTACTTGATAAGTGTTATATTTATTTAATTTCATACTCACTGCATAGATGTTATGTTTAATTTATGTTTCTATATGTGTTGTCTCATAATTCAATGGCTTTAATACTGAGATTTGTATAGTAAAATCTTATGAAATTATACTTATAAAAAAAGATCATGAAATTATTCATCATTTATTGAAATGCATAACATAAATCTTTGATTTTATGTTCTCTTTTGTTCTCAATTCTTTGTTTCCAGCAATTCTATATGGAGTTGGAGTTCGTTCTTCGGAAATTCATAATGTTTTCCTTGCACTTGCTTCTTGAAATTCCTAGGAGTCATAAGTGGCTCTTATCCTCCACCTACCAGAGAAAACCTGTACTTCTCTGTTTTGCTGCATTGGAATCTCAGGCAAATGACTTGCTTTCTCATAATTGTTCAAATGCACTTTTTTTCTGAAAACTTGGATGAGTTACAAAGCATTAGTTGGTAAGAGAAGGAAATATTTACTTCAGAGACAGGAAGAACTCTTGTCTAAGAAAAATATCATATTATATTGTTTTCATTGAATAACATGCCAAAACTGAGGAAGTCTTTACTTGATATAAGAAAGATCAGGGTGATTCTGTAGATCCACAATATGGGATGTGTATATTTTTGGTTTTAAATATTGCAAGGAAAGTGGGCCATTTGATGATGATTGAAGTTGCTGAACTGAATGGCTTATTGCTTTGTCTTTTAGCAGATAAAGTAGTTACATAATAAAATAATCAAGAGTATGTAATCTACCCAACTTCAGTTTCAGTCATTTAGAAACTCACAAGTCACAACCTCCTCAATAACTTATTCACTAAAAGACTAAGGAACATGCCATTCAGTTAAGCCACTTAAGCTGTAACCAAACAGTCCCTTAATCTAATTCCAATCCAACTTCATTTTTATTTCTTGAATCATCATCATCTTCTTCTTCAGGAGAGTATACATGTTAAAAATAGTTCTTGGTTGGATGGTGGTCTCTGCTATAGTATTGTGGTTGGGGTGTTTAGTCCTATCTCGCCAACTTTGAGATGGACTCCAGCTGCAAGTCTTCCTGCCATTAGAGCTATCCTCTGATGACCCTCATCTCATCAAATGATGTTCTCAATTTGTTCTGAACCAAAAACCAAACCCCTTATTCATCTTGTAAACTTGCCATTTTGAAATCCTAATTCAGTGTCAGAATCACCTAAGTCTGAAGAATACTTAAAAGCAAATAAAATATCAGTAGCCTATGGGATTTCTTTGTAAACACTGGGTTCTATATGGTTCTGTAACATATAAAGTTTGCATCATCCTATTGCCTACATTATTGTTAACTGTTACTCAAATTTGATTAGAGACTTCAAAATAGTTCCAGTGATTATAGTTTTTAAGTCAGCAATGAAATCCTAGTTCTTCAATGCCATATTTGATTAATGCATTACTGGACGTCATTTAATTAACCTTCTGATGAAAATCATTGCTGTTAATCACGCCACAGGGAATGGGGTTATGCCTTCATGATACAATTGATTAGCATATACATAATTTGGACTGGCATGGAAAATGAATGGTTTTCTCCATGCATGGTTTTTCACTTTAGAATTGTTGCCTGGATATCATTCTGCTCTCTAGCTGTTAATTACTAGGCTAAATCTATGATTTGAGGCTTATAGAAGTTTAACTACCCTCTATATATGTAATATCTAGATCTTAGTAACCACAACCATGCAAAAAAGGTGCCTATCCACTCTAAACTGTGATTTGCGATGTTAGAAATGGGAATGTGTTCCTAAAAATATTGAATTGTGCTCCTAAATTTCTAGATATGTGGTTTCAACAATAATAAGTGGTAGATATTCTTCTTTTAGAAAAATAAGCAAGTGTGATGGATTAAATAGCAGCATTGCTGGATACCACTTTTATCTTCTACCAAATTTGGTTTTTACAACTTGCATCATGAGAAAAAAGTTTCCACAATCCCATGCATAAATGCATGAGGATCTCTTGAATTTTAAATTAACCAAATAGTGTCAAATAATTACATGCAACACTATGTGTTAGTCCAAAATGCAGATGTAAGTATGTATTTCCATTTTCTGCACCTATGCTGCATTGCAGATTAGGAGTTTTTCTAATTTGGCATGCCTATACCTGCTCCAGATGTGGTTACCATTCTGTAGTTGTTACTTAGATCTAGACTCACATATGCAGAGTTCGAAAGTCATTTTTCAATCCATTCACCATGGTGAAAGTTGATAAATCAAAATCTAACATATTTGCAGTGATCATGTATGGGCCTCTCTGTGAGCTGTTTATGGGACTTATGTGATAACTATGGATTACCTGTCCTGATATCCAGTCTGTAAGACCATCTTTATCATCATCATCATCATCATCAATATGTAATACCAAATATGAGTATGGTTTGATGAATTTTTAGGTGATTCCATTCTCTGTGTGGAGAATGGAGATATTCAATAATGTCCAGGAATGCCCACTAGAAAGCTGTAGAAATATCAGTATATTTAGCTGTGTTTTGCCTTGGTAAACTGTTAATCATGTTTGAGATGTGCTGTGCAGATGTGCATTCTTATATTTGTGGGAACAAATGGTGAGACTTATTTCAACACGGCAGCACTGGTTTCATGTGTACAGAACTTCCCAAAAAGTCGTGGTCCTGTAGTGGGCATACTAAAGGGATTTGCTGGATTGGGTGGTGCAATCCTAACTCAGATATATGCAATGGTAAATGCTCCTGATCAAGCGACAATCATTTTTATGGTTGCAGTTGGACCTTCCATGGTAATCATAGCATTGATGTTTATTGTTAGACCGGTTGGAGGCCACAGACAAGTTCGGTCATCTGATGGTTCAAGTTTCACATTTATCTACAGTGTGTGCATCCTTTTGGCTGCTTATTTGATGGGGGTCATGCTTGTTGAAGATATCGTTGATCTGAACCACACTGTGGTCACACTATTTACAGTTATTTTATTCATTCTCTTATTGCTTCCCATTGTGATTCCCATACTACTGAGTTTTTCCTCAGGTGTGAGAGCACCTGCTGAAGAAAGCCTTCTACCTGAGTCTCAGAAAGATGGACCTAGTAAATCTGGACAGGATGTGAATGAGGTTATTTTTAGTGAGGTGGAAGATGAGAAGCCTAGGGAAGTTGATTTGCTCCCGGCATCAGAAAGGCAAAAACGTATTGCTCAGTTGCAAGCAAAACTATTCCAAGCAGCTGCAGAAGGAGCTGTTAGAGTGAAGAGACGGAAGGGCCCACGTAGAGGGGAAGATTTCACCTTGATGCAGGCACTGATAAAGGCAGATTTATGGCTCATCTTTTTCTCCCTCTTATTGGGTTCAGGTTCTGGATTGACAGTGATTGATAATTTGGGCCAAATGAGCCAGTCTTTGGGGTATGACAATACACATATATTTGTGTCCATGATAAGCATTTGGAACTTCCTTGGTCGTATTGGTGGTGGTTACTTCTCTGAAGTTATTGTAAGGTGCGACCTACTGTACTGAAAATCTGCTATTTACTTTTGATTGTTTCACCTGTTTCCTCTATCTAATTATTAAGATGTATTTTGTGCAGGGATTATGCATATCCAAGGCCAGCGGCCATGGCTGTAGCTCAGGTTATTATGGCAATTGGTCACTTCTTCTTTGCTATGGGATGGCCTGGGGCAATGTACATTGGTACTTTGTTGACTGGACTTGGTTATGGGGCCCATTGGGCAATTGTTCCTGCTGCAGCGTCTGAATTGTTTGGCTTGAAAAACTTTGGAGCTTTATATAATTTCCTCACACTAGCAAATCCTGCAGGATCTCTAATCTTTTCTGGTCTCATTGCTAGCAGTATTTATGATCATGAAGCAGAGAAACAAGCTCATAGAAACTTAGGAAATCTGCCAGGGAAGATGCCTGATGTGTTACTTGGTATGGACGAGTCACTTAAGTGTGAGGGTGCTATATGCTTTTTTCTTACTTCCATGATAATGTCTGGACTCTGCATCGTTGCAGTCTTGTTGAGCTTGATTGTTGTTTACCGGACCAAGATTGTCTACAAAAATCTCTATGGAAAATCACGTACTTGAGTTTGGAGCAAGAGACTAGTCCCAGAAGATAACTTTTACGAAAAGAGTAGAACCTAATCTGTTTCTTCTGGTGGTATATTGTCCTACTTATATAAGGTCATGGGTCTCCCTTATTTCTTAACTAGATTGTCTGGAAAGAAGTGGCTGTTGAGGGAGGCAGGTGATATGGGCGTCTTCTCTGGAGAGAAGAAAAGCAGAATTTGGTGTTTCTATATGCTTGTGCTAGCTACAGGGTTTTGTCATAAAGCAGATTCATTTCTCTGCTCGAATGTTGCTTCTTGTGTCTCCTCTCTATCTTCTGAAGACATTTATTTGGTCTGAGGTTCTTCACCTGTGATATTTTTTACATCTACGGGGGTGCATTGTGGTTGTTAGTTGTAACTATAACCTTTCAAATTTATGTATTTTATTTGACTGAGTAATATGTATCCTTTTCTCGGGAGAGATGATTTGCCAAAATAATCGATGTCGCTGCTTGAAGCAAAAGATTATACATTAAGCACATATTTGGATTAGGTGCTGGTTTTTGGTTCCTAATGACGTTGATATTCTGTTATTTTACTGGAGGGGGAAAGCTGTACACAGGCTACAAATTAATGCACCGTTTCCCGTTTCCTATAATGATGTTTGGAAAATGAGAATGTCCCAGTGTGTGAATCCCATGGAATGGTAACATGGTCAAAACGGCTAGCCATGCCCATGTTGCAGATTGGAATTGTTGACTTCTTATTCTGTAACAGTGTGAAAAAGTTTGTTGTTTGGGAGCTTCCTGTGCATGATATGTTACCATTAGGTGTGGTGTAAAAAGGATATTTGCAACTAATATTCTCAGCCAAGGGACTAAGCGGTGAGTCCAGATTTCCTACTCACTTTTCTTACCCACTCTCTATCTGCAAGCCCTGAATTGCAGTCACACATCTCTCAGTTTATAATAGATATGTGTTTTGTTAAGTGGCTACTTGATTAGTATATTAGATCACAGGTGATCCACCTGAAGATGACCTAATAACTACTACATACATGGGCTGATTTTTCATTCTGAAAAGAACGAGTCTCATGGAAAGAATTCTGTGGCCAGACGATCTAATGCTATTCATAATTGTACATTCTTGCCCAGAAATGAACAAAAATTAAAAGAATGAGGCCCAAAGCAACAACTCAAGCATTGCCTTATTCGCTTGACACCAGCACCGTGGAGACTGGGGGCCTTAGTGTGTTCTGGACCTAAGTAGCTTAGCTGAGACTAAGGCCCTAAGAGAGAATTAATATCGAGGATTGACCATGCTAATATAGAGGTGTCAATTGGATTGGATTTGGTCCAAGATCCAGTCCAATGTGAGTCCATTATAAATGGACCAGGTCCAATCCAATCTGATGAATGTTTTGGATCAATTTGGACTGGTCCAATTCAATGTCTGGATCATCCAATTTGTTCAAATTCATTTTGATTTAGATTGGTTTCAACCCAAACCTGGTCCCTTGACACATATTCTTATCTTATATCAATGGACTAAATATTGGCTTAATCCAACCCAATCTAATATAAATTTGTTATAGATGGACCAGGTTCAATCCAATCTAATAAATATTTTGGACCGGATTGATCCAATCCAATGTCTTGTTGGTCCATTTGATCTGTCCAAATTAAGTTTGGACTGGATGGGATCCAATCCAAAACTGGTCCATTGACACCCTTAATGCCATCTGCCCTTGGTGGGGTTTATTAGAATGATTTCTTAAATCCATATGACTGGGCCTGATCTATTTACTGAACAAGCCTAAAACCAAGCCCAGATTTAAGTCCGGTAGTGCTAACAAGGAACCCAAGTTTATTATCCCTGAGAGTCCGGTAGTCCGGTAGTGCTAACAAGTTTATTATTGCTGGGTCAGTAAGCCGTCTTTTTCATATTTTTCTTATAACTTTTTATATATTATATAGAATAGACTCCTTATAAGGGAATAAACTAGTAAATCCATATAGCTTCTGGTTACTGGTTATAAGTTGGATATGTTCGTGACAAGTAGGAACCTAGCTACCCGAACAATTCATGGTTAGAAATATTGTTAATAGAAAAAAAAAAAAGAAACGAAAAGAAAAGTAGTTTCCATTTCTCTCCTCGTGGGGCAGAAGTAGAATATATTTGAAATTACTTTCGCTTGTTTTGGTGTGAGGACTGGCAAGTGCACTGATTACCATAGGAGATAGGACATTTTGGTCCTTTTGCCAGAATTAATGGAGTTGTTGTCAAACCAAAATAAAGGAGTAATTAAGGTTTCTAAAGCTATGAAGGCATGGATTCTAGTTTCAAGCTGATGAGTCGTGACAGTGTGTTAGCTGCAACTGTTAATGCAGCTAGAAAGGGCATAATAAGTCAGGAAGGAGGTGTCGTGGAATTAACTAGACACTATTCCGAGTAACAGCGAGTAAAGAAGCTGAAGATGAAGAAATTCTTATATCAGTAAGTTCAGATGTAGGAACCTACATAAATTATACACGAAGGGTTAAAGTGGCAAAAATAGACAGTAACATAGACGACTAAACTTAATTAGTTTGTTATATATGTGGAAGAATATAAAACCAAGAATAATTTAGGTATAGAAAAAGATAAAGAAAAAAGATGAAATTGTTAGATATTGATTGAATATAATATAGAAGGAAGATAAAATCATATTCATCCAACTTGGCTTGAAAGAGTAGATAATTAATCCAATCAGCATTTACCCACCCGAGTAAAGCATTAAGATGCATTTATAAAAAAAAAAAAATCATATTAATTTATGTAATTACCTAATCTATAATAAGATAATTGTACATGTCCATTTATTTACACACTGTATGTATAAATAGTTTGTTTCCAAAATAAAACTCTATGCAGAATCATATCAAGAAAGAATGGTTTGAATGATTCTTATTAGCAGGTAGCAATATAGGATATTTTCTGAATGGAGCCTTTGAATAAGACGTTTTTTATGGAAAAGCAACCTTCATCCATCCAAGAAGAGGCTACCCATTATAACATACATGGTAGTGTTTCGACGGTAGGGATACCAAATTGTCCTCAAATCAAATCAAACACATCCTTTCAGGTATGCATACACGAGACAAAAAAAAAAATGTCAGCCATACACCCTGCACGGGATAAGATGAAGGATGTTCTTTAGGATAAGTTTCTTAAACCATCCTTATGGTTTAGTTAATTGATTAAATGTATTTTACTGTTTGAAAATTGACTAACGCTATTCCTATTGTTTCTGACAATTGATTAATACTTCCCTTACTGTTATCATTGGTTAATAGAAAGATGAACAAAACTACTTTACCTTTTATTCTTTTTTAAAATTTCAAAATAAAACAAGAAAAAGGAAAAAGAATAATGTCACTTGGAGACTTTAGAGACTTGGGTAGGAAGGGTTTCTGCGGCCAAACACTACAAGTGTTCTGAGCTTAGGAATATCGCCGCCGCTGCAACAGGTTTCTGACGGCAAGAGGAAAGGGTTTGCCGGTGGCGGTCTAACCCATATTTACATAGATACATAAATCTACTAAATAATGTAGTTCAGAAATGATACCGGCGGAGGGAGAAGAATCAGACATTCAGACTAGAACCAGATAAATAGGATATGATGACAATGGAGAACTCAGCCACTACTATGGCTCCTTTTCTTCTTCGGAATTTGGTAACCTCTATATTCATCTTCGCCGACAAATCCCTTCTCAATTTATTAGAAAGATTAAGCTTCTCCAATTCATTTGCTACCTTTTTATCCAATTTCTCTTATTTTTTCTTCGTTTCCTACCTTCTATCTTCCCTTCCTTAATTGCCAAATCAGCGGCTGACTTTCTTCTCAAACCCCACCACATTAAGTGGGAATTCCCGACCCAAGGAGACTCCGGTATCGCTCAAGCACTCTCTCATATTCTGTCCATCATCAGCGATATCCCAGTCAGCTCCCACAAATATGAAATGGTTCGAAACTTGGCTAAAAATCTCATCGACGAGAATCTCCGGGAAGGATGCGAATCGCTGAGAAAGGTCAACCAATTGGTTCTATCGGCAGCGTTCGCCAGGACTCTTTGCCTGCTCGAAGGGGCAATGTCAGAGCGAGAGCATACCGCTGAAAATGGATTTAGCTTAATCTGGTGGATGGTAACCAGAGAGACAGACAGACAGACAGGAAAGAGAGAGAGGGAGGGAGAGGACTGAACCCAACAGGAAAAAGAAGGGGAGAGAGAGAAAGATGGGGAGGGAGGTGGAGAGTAAAATTGGGTTTTAAAAAATATATTTCACATGTGAATAAATTCGGACGGAATATTAATGGATCTTAATGGTAAGGGTAGAGTTAGTCAATTATCAGAAATAGTAGGGATAACATTAGTCAATTTCCAAATAGTAAGGGTACACTTAGTCAATTCAATTAGCTAAGCCATAATAAGAATAGTTTAAAAAATTTATCTTATTCTTTAAGGTAAATTATAGACTCCCACTATTGTACTTTTGGGGTAGAGATGCTTTGCCCTTAAACATTCATTTTCATTTGTAAAAATGGCCCCCTTTGATTTTTTTGGATTCTAACACTCTATTCCTGATTCGTTGACAGTTTGTTAAGGTAAGATTATTAAAATGTCCATTTAAAATTTGATGGGCTGAGAAAAAATTATCAAAATAATGAAAATAGGCATGTTAAAGCATGGTATATGTTTGTATTTTTTGGTGTTTTTTTTTTGTATTTTCTGAAATTTTCTGAAATTTTCTATTTTTATATATTGTATTTTATATTCCTCTTTTTCTTCATTTTTTTTGTTGTATTTCTGTGTTATCTGCAATCTCATGTTTTTTATTTATTTTATATTAATTTATTATATTTTAACAATTTTCTACAAAATAAAATGATCTAAAATAACATAACGACAGTTTAAGATTTTAGAAATATTAAAACTCTCACATGTGAATCTTTTCTGGAATTAATTGACGGAATGCTAAAATGCTAATAGCAAGGGTGGGCCGCAGGTCGGGGGTAATTCTCTCACTGCCCCCAAAGCATGGTTTTCAAAACCAGATTGGACCGGATGGTCGGACTGGTCAGTGATATGTTCTATTTTACCTCAAAATCGTTATTTCGCCAAAAATTGTTGATTTGGTCAGTAAATCGTTGACTTGGACAATCAGACTATTTAAACCATTAGAATCGTCCAATCGGACTGTTTCACTCTGAAAACCAAACCCTGACCGGTTCGATTTTAAAAACTTTGCCCAATGGCATTTTATAATTTCTCCTATGTTTTAGGTGGGGAGGCTAAAAAAAATAAAAGGATTAAATTTTTGGGACAGTGGTTTGACATGAAACGAAAGGCAGGTATCGGCTTTATAGAGCAAAGATAAATGTATATTACGTGTAGGTGGGTCCAAAAACAATGTTCCAGGCTAGATACGTAACTTGCGACTTGTGAGCAGGAGAAAGAGAAGAAAATCTTGTTCATATGCAATAATGCAAAATAGTAAAACGGATGATGCCAATGAGATTGCTATTTTTACTTACTATGAAGAGGGATTTTCATAGAGTAAGGTTTAGTTGAATCCTTTGGCTGTTTAATGGGTTGTGAAACTAATGATAAGGTCCCACAACAGCAAAAGCAAAAATATATGAGACCTGCACCTTTAATTTTACAGTGGAACCCGTAAATTTATTAAACCTCTTTATTAATTCTACAACCCATTAAACAGTCAAAGCGTTCACCTAATTAATCCAAATTCCTTTTCATATGGCATCTTCACTAACATTTGCCCAACTTACAAATGTAGTTTAATCAATTAACACATACTCAGATATATTCTTGTTGTCTAATCTAATGTCTATCAAATAAGAAACTGATAATTAATTAGTCTCCTCTATATCATTATAATCATTTCCCATTCTGGAACAATTCCTTCAACGCAACACACTTACAGAAAAGAATATTATCAGTTGTCTTAACTTGCTTTTCTCCGTTTCATTTTTTTCTTATTTCCAGCATCAAGCTCTAGTTCCAGCTTCCCAAGTGTCTTGCTCACTAGGTGCCCTTTTCTCGTATGCAAGTATGGAGGGATCTGCTACCAACAAAACACTATCAGTCTTGCCCCAACAAGCCACTGTAACCTCCCATGCATTGGGAACATCTCTCTTGTCATTGGTGGGATATATTCTCAATGTAATCGCAATTACGAATCAGGTTGGAATGTTATTGGCACCGCGTATTGGTAGCTGATCCAAACTCTTGGCTTTAGATTCTTTATATGTTCCAGTGACCAGTGCTTGAACACTGAGCAAGCTTTAGCAACTTCTCAACCATATTTGATCAGCATGGCTCTACTTCTTTGCTACATTCTAATGGGATTACTTGAACTTGCTTCAAACCCAATGGGCAATAGCTATTTGATTGTCAACCAGCAGAAGTTTTCATTTTTTTTATGGTAAGAAGCAGCACAAGTTCAAATGTAAGATGTTACTCCTCTTGGTGCCTAGAATTTTTCATTGTAAGTGTTCTAACTTCAAAACAAGCAACAGCAAATACAACTCCATTTATCATTTCAGAACATCCAGTGGTTCCAGTGTCTTCTAAAGAGAATCATTCCTCTACCATAACATGAAGGAGAAGGCATTGGACATATTCAACCAACTTGGTTGTAGTTTCACTTGAGTAATCACAGAGAGAGAGAGAACTTGTTCAGTTGTTCAGATTAAATTAAATAGTGTGTCAATTATCATAGGAATTAATAAAACAGATAATGCACCAGGGATCACACATGCACACATATGTAAAAATGACAATTCATCACATCAGTTTACCAAATCACATTATTACAGTAAATATGCAAATTCCCTTTTTTAAAAGGTATGTATGCCAAAGATACCACCAAATCACCTTTTCAACTAAATTATATATAGAATCAACATAAAGAAAAGGTGGAGCATTATGTGTGTGAATTTGCTACATGAATTACATTCTTTTTTGTTTATAGTTATATTTTCTCAATACCATAGAAAATGATGTTGGAGGGGAATTTAGTATTTAGAATGTAGCAAAGGAGTGGGTCCCACGGTTAGAAGAAGTTCATAAATCAGAAATAAGGCACCTCCAGGTGGGGGATCTTTTGGGTGGTCCATGTCACTCAATAATCCCACAGTGAGGTTAGTATAACCACTAACCACAGGTACTCTACCAATGCCATAGGTAACCATAGCATCCTTAACCCTAGTCAATTATCCCTAGCCTTTAATCCAACTTCAGGTTTGGTTAAGAATAAGAAGCACCACTCCTTTAACCAACCTCACACATGTGGGTCCCACTTTTACAATTGTATTTTCCTCTTAACTAAAATAAAAATAAAAAAGAAATAAGCTTTTGTTCTTAAAAACAGCAAAATACATATAAAATAATAGTTGTATATTCTACAAGGTTTTTGAATTTTCTCTCCTATTTAGATATAAAATTTTAAAAATAAAATAGCATTAATATTAATTTTCCTGAAACTTACCACCCTAATAAATTTCCATATTTAAGTTACTCACAAACCCACTCCAAGAGTTAAAAATTAACTCTAGTTAGGGTTTCAGCCAATAAAAAAAGGTGGGTTAAGGTCTACAAAATACTTAAAAAACAAGGAAAGCCTATGATACATTGGTGACTTTTATTTTCTTTTTCCTCTCAATGAGTTTTAGAATTTGAGAAATTCTGTATAGGCTTTGAGGGGTTTTGACAAAAAGTCCTGTTTTGGGGATTTTCTTGGATTTGGGGAAGGAAAAGGGGCAAAAAAATTGGTGATGGAGGTCTTTCCATGGCGGCTCTGCGATTCAAATTCCTCAAACCATGGAGAGTATTTCTAATGGGTAATTTCTCCTACCTTCACTCCTCTAGTGTGCTTTATATCGAATAGCTTTTTACTGTTTATCGTGTACTGACGACCAAGATCAGACAATCTAGGGTTCAGTCCAAAGTACTGAAATTCGGGATACTAAAAAGATAATTCCGAACGTTAGAACTTGTTCAAAACCTTTGTTTCTGTAGATCCATGGCCGATGATGTTTGGTTTCGATTCTGGAGTCTGTTTCAAAGTGGGTGCACGTGTTTTTTTTTTTTTCGCTTTCGTTAATTTGTTATTAAAGCCTTCTCCGTTTTGGCTCTCTGTTTTCGTCTGAAGTACCTGGCAGATTAAAATGGTTTATGAGCCTTACGCTGAGAATGTTTGAATTTTCAAGAGAATTACGGTCTTCTGATTGCACGTAATGTGTGCTTGTTTCTCTATCGCGTTGTTTGTATATGGGATGAATTATTGTTAATATTGCCGTGCCATGTATTCCCTCTGCTTTCTTGTTAACTCAACCCAGCCCTCTTAATTTGCTTACCCGATAGTAGTAATTCTTGTTTCTTTTTAATATTATTTTGTTATTTTTTACAATTGTCGTGATACACTTTTCCCATTGCGAAGAGTGATTGAATATAGTAGTCTCAGTCAGCGATTTGGATGCTTCAGTGGAAGCTTCGGTTCTTCTTCTGGATTATATTATTCTGGTTTTCTTCACATGTAACTTTTATGTATGAGCATTAATCTTGCTTTTTCCCTCTTGCTAAATTAGTTGTTCTCATTATTCTTTTGGATTGTATTTATTTTTCTTTCTGAACTAGGTTTTGGACATTTAGACGTGGCTCCCCTTTTGAAGTATGGAAAGACCTCGGGTTGTAGGCTCAGATTGTGGTGGTTGAGTTCTAGTTGATTTCGACCTTTCATACAAATAATAAAGAAAATAAAGAGTGATCTGGTGATATAGGAAAATGGAGTGCAATAAAGATGAGGCCACCAGGGCAAAAGAAATTGCTGAGAGGAAGTTTACAGCAAAGGACATTGCTGGTGCGAAAAAATTTGCTTTGAAGGCCCAAAACTTGTATCCAGGACTTGATGGTCTACCTCAAATGCTGGCAACTCTTGATGTTTATATCTCTGCAGAGAACAAGATAAGCGGGGAGGCAGATTGGTATGGGATACTTGGTGTTAATCCCTTAGCTGATGATGAGACAGTAAAGAAACAGTACAGGAAGCTGGCTCTCATGCTTCACCCTGACAAGAACAAATCTGTCGGGGCAGATGGGGCTTTTAAGCTTATTTCAGAGGCCTGGAGTTTGTTATCTGACAAAGCTAAGAGAACAGCATATGACCAAAAGAGGAATTCCAAAGGATTCCAACAGAAAGTCCCACCTTCTGGTGGGGTTCCACCTGCACCACCTGGTGCAAATGGTTTTTATAATTTCACCAACAATACAACCTCAAATGCAAAGCCTCCAAAGAGTGGCACTCGGGTAGGTACTGCATCTGCTCCTGCTTCATCCCATCCATCAAAACCCAATACTTTTTGGACTGCATGTCATCGTTGTAAGATGCAATATGAGTATCTCAGGGTTTATCTGAATCACAATCTCCTTTGCCCCAATTGTCATGAGCCATTTTTAGCAGTAGAAACAGCACCACCACCATCAAATGGTTCTAATTCATCCACACCATGGTCTTTCTCTCAGCAGCGTCAGAATTCAAACCATCATACAACAAACAAGAATTCTTATAACCAAGGAAGAAATTCTGCTAGCACTCAGAATATGGGGCCAGGGGGTTTTGCAGGTCTTGATTCTTTTAGCCACACAAACTTCCAGTGGGGTCCATTCTCTAAAACAACTGGTGTTGGGAATTCAACTACCTCTGCTTCTGCTACTGCTCAAGCTGCTACTGTGGTTCAGCAGGCTTATGAGAAAGTTAAGAGACAAAGGGAGGAAGCACAAGCAGCTGCCAGGAGGGAAGAGGCCCTTCGGAGGAAGAATCATGTTTCAAAAAAGATGGGTAGTGGTTCATCTACGTCATTCTCTAATTCTGCCTCTAGCCCTGTTGCCAAAGGAGAGAGGCCTATGAAAAAAAGAAGAGGAGGTATAGATGACAATGGGGGAAACTGTTATAGCACCAATGGAACAAATCAAACTGCTATGGGAAATGGAGTTGGGGTTGGAAGTATATCTGGGCTTAGGCATAGTAATTTTGAAACAGAAAGAGTTAATGGGGTTTCTACTAATAAACCTAATAGTATAAGGGAGTTGTCACAGTCTGAACTTCGGAATATGCTCATGGAGAAGGCTAAGCTGGAAATTCGCAAGAAGTTAACTGAATGGAGCTCAGCTGCCATCGCAAAACCTTCAGATAAAGACAAAGATAAGGAGAAAGATAAAGAGAAGGAAAAAGAGAAGGCTACATTAAAAGGTGAGGTGGGTGATCAGAATGAGTCTGGTGAATCTTTGGACACCAAGAAAAAGATCCATTCTAAGAAAGATTTTCCTGGCACTTGTGGTACTGATTCAGATACAGAAGCCCTGGAACCCATGTCAATCAGTGTACCTGATCCAGATTTTCATGATTTTGACAAGGATAGAACTGAAAGATCCTTCGGTGATAACCAAGTGTGGGCTGCGTATGATGATGATGATGGGATGCCTCGTTATTATGCCATGATTCATACTGTAATATCCTCAAATCCATTCAAGATGCGGATCAGTTGGCTGAACTCCAAAACCAACAGTGAGCTGGGGCCACTAAATTGGGTTGGATGTGGATTTTCTAAGATTTGTGGGGATTTTAGGGTAGGGAGGCATGAAGTCAATGATTCCCTCAATTCTTTCTCCCACAGGGTTAGGTGGACAAAAGGGATGCGGGGTGCTATCCGTATATTTCCCAAAAAAGGTGATATTTGGGCTCTCTATAGGAACTGGTCCCCTGATTGGAATGAGCTTACCCCAGATGAAGTGATACACAAGTATGACATGGTGGAGGTGCTTGATGATTATATGGAGGAGCATGGTGTGGTTGTCACGCCTCTAGTTAAGGTTGCTGGTTTCAAGACAGTCTTCCATCGGCATTTGGACCCTGGGCAAGTCAGGACAATTCCAAGAGAAGAGATGTTTCGGTTCTCTCATCAGGTTCCTTCTTACTTGCTTACAGGTCAAGAAGCTCCAAATGCTCCAAAGGGTTGCAGGGAGCTGGACCCAGCAGCTACCCCGTTGGAACTGCTTCAGGTAATCACAGATGTTAGAGAAGAAGAAATTGTGGAGGATGCCGAAAAAAACATGGAAAAAGAGACGTCAGTAAATGGAGAGAAAGTTAAGGAAGAACATATGCAGAGCATCAAAGAAGACAAAGAAAAAGAAATGATGGAGAACACTAAAAAAACCAAGGAAGAAGTGATGGTAGGCAAGGGGAATGAAGCTAAGGAAGAAAAGATGGTGGAGTTTGCTGAAGAACAAAAAGCTAGTTGACGATGTTTGGATTATGCAGTCCTGCTTCAGATAGGAGAAAATTTGACTTGTGAAATCAGATTAGAGTTATCCAACATATATTGAGTTTCCGTTGCTGATTAATGTTGGTATTGACTTTCATAGTTGATTAATGTTGTTACCCATTCATTTTCTTTCAAAATCAAATGTCAATGCTATAAATGGTAGATCTAACCTCAGTTTTGATTGCAACTTGAAGATGGTAAAGAAAACAGAATTATTTGGTTCTTAGGAGTTCATCATCAGATATCTTAAGGCCTCAATGCTTGCTAGTGTGTTCTCTATCCACTGGAGCCTTCAGAGATCTGTGAGGCCTCTATTTGCTTTTCTTCAAGAGCTAGTTCCCAAGCCTAAAACAATCTTTCTATCAGTTGCAGCTCGTCAAATTAAACTTACCAGTGAGCTGCCCATCTTTCTCATCTGCTTTCAGTGTTTTACATGCTGAGCTTTCTTGTTCTTATTATTAGACTTCAATTAAATTCTAGCATAATTTATGTCTCAAGATTTAATATTTTTGTTGGTTCTGATTATAGTTTATTTTAAAATGTAGATTATAGGCTGATTTCAATTTCTTTTATCAGTTTATGTATCTTTGTTGTGTATTACTACTGTCCTAGCTCAAGCTCTACAAGCATAATGTGCAGTACTCGTTTTTATGTGTCTGGAATTTCATCTAGAGTGATCAGATGTTTCTCTTGCATCTATAAAAGGCAATGACATACTATATATCTTGCATGTGCATTACTTCCTTAGCCTGCTAGGAAGAATATGGCACTTTAATGTTATGGTATTTTTGTAGTGTTTATGCTGTCATGCTGATTATTCAAGAACAGCGGGTCCATCTGTCTAAAATGGGAGTTATTTCGTTGGATGATTTGGCTAACTATTCTGTTTATGGGTATTTATGTTGATACATATGGCTTGCTTGTCCTTTCAATAGAACATCAACCTTTGTAGTTATATGTAATTTGTAATTATGTGGCTGCTGTTAATATCACCTATCATGGTACAAATCCCTGTAAAAAGCGGTTTATATATGGATTTCCGGTGCTTTTAGATAGTTATGCAGAAATTAGTAAGCTTTGAACATGTTTTGAATGTTCCAGGCATGCTGCATGCATAAGGTTTTTAAGAAGAAAATTCTTTACTAACTTTTTTGTGGACCTGATCTAAAGGACGCACATAAATTCTAGATTCAGGGTTGGAAGTTTTCACAAGGTTGAAACTGAGTCTGTTTGGACTGACTTCCTAGACTCACTTTCATTTGCTCCCTGACTACTTTTGAAGTATCAACTTCACCTAATTGTTATTGGTTATTTTGCCATCTTTATATACTTGTTGATCATTGTCATAGTCTTAGTGGTTATTTTGCTGATAGATTGGAACTATGGATAAAGAAAACATAATGGTTGCTGAATCCATGCTGTAACAGCATTGTGACTTGATCCATTTTCGGCAAAGCAAGTTTATGGATTTTAAAGTAGGGGTTTTAGGGTTAAGATAACTTGCCATATTTGATTTTAATATATGGGGCATGAGCTATGTTCACGCCTCAGAGTTGACACTTTGGAAGGGTCCATACCCTCCTTTTAGAAGGTATCACTTTTTCTTCAAGTTCTTCAGATCATAGAACAAAGACTAGGATTTTATTTTAAAGGTTGTTATTACCTGACATAACTTGCCTAGCAAATTAAAGCAGAGTATTTAAGATCTTATTGGAGCTGGGGTGGTGATAGATGGGATAATGGGGCATTAGGTTAGTTTTGCAGTAGCTTGTGCATTTTCTTTTTGATCTTTTGGGATACAGATGTAGTGGGTCATTGGGTCATAACCGTATATCTTTGTTTGCACGTGTACAAATGCATGTAGTGCAAATTCTTACTCATTTTTGCTGCAGATTTTACTTTGCTTTAGGTTTTATTTTAATTCATCTGCGTTGCAAACAGACAAAAAAAAAAAAAAAAAAAGCTAAAGCATAAGTAAACCAAAATTTGTGTTCCCATACTCAGAGATCCATTGTCAGATCCAGTGCTTGTCTTACGATCTCTCTCCTGTATTAAATTATTAAATATGTTGCTGCGGAAAAGCCAGTGGCCAAGTACTGGTACAGACTTGCTGACACAAAAAAGTACTGGCGCAGATTTGTCTGGTGCTTGGATTTTCATGCGAGTTCAAATGCAAAGGAATCAAAAGTGAACAGAGGCCACAGAATATGTCTATGGCCAGGCCTGTTAAGCCAAATAGCTACCCAAAAAACAAAAAAAAAAAAACGTGCTTGTATTTTTCATTTGAACAAGTTCGGGAGGGCTGAGCTGAAAATTCAGCTAAGCTCCTTCAGCTGCTTTGAAGTTCTCCCGATAAGCTATTCAAGCAAATTGTGGTGGACAGCCCTTTAAATGATTAATGGACAGCTGATTTGGGCTCTCAAGAATCAAGAATTCTCACCAAACATAAATTATAGCCTGTCTGTGTGGGGCTTACCTTGCAAAGCTAGAAGCCACTGCCCTTAAGTCCTTCCAAATGGGCACTAAATGGAAATAGGAAATATAGAAGCCACTGCCGCACCCTTAATTAAGGGCCCTTGTACGTCCCTTCTCATGAACATGGTTATCACTTCGTACAGACTATATGAAGGTTCATCTCTTCAATGGATGAGTAATTGATAATGAATAGTGAAGAAATGAGATTTGTTTATTCGGGAATGGGATCAAACATGGACCCACGGAAACTCAGGATTGAAATGATTGACTACTGTAAATCTGGAGTTGGACAGCCTGTTGTTGTAATAGGGCTGGCAATTTTAACCCCAACCCATCTGACCTACCCGCTTGAAAACTCATTCTAATCATGGGTCAACATGGGCTGAATGACCCACTAGGGTGGGTCAGGGTGGAGTTGGGCCAAGGGTTACTCATGACCCTCAACTTTAAACTTCTTCCAAAGTTTTTTATTCGATAGTTTCTTCTTCTATTTAGCTTTTAGGGTTTTTATTTTTTTCTTCTTCTCTGTTTAGGGCTTGCTCAAACCACCACCATTCTCATTATTTAGAGAATGTTCAACTCGCTATTTCTCGTTCAAGCCGCTGCAGTGCTGCCACCATTCTCGCCGCCACCAACCACGGCACCATGATCTCGCTCCAATGGCATATGGAGGCCTTAAGAACACTGTTTTAAAGCTTCTTGAGTTCCTGTCGGTGTTCCTCCTCCCCAAGTTCTGAAGCAACGACAGATTGATGTCGGCGGTTGAATAGAATAGAAGATGCCGAGGACTCAATAGATAACAGACAGAGGTTGCCGGCGATTGAACAAAGCAAGAGAAGAAACAGGGGCGAGCAATGTTTCAATGATTATCTTCTGCAACTTTTCTTTGTAGCAGAAATTATATAATTTTGGAATTTTATTATCATTTTCTGTTTTTTTTTCTCTGTGGTTATAGTTATTAGTTGAAATATGTATTTTTAATTATTATTATTTTATTTATTATTCTGCAATTTCTGATTTTTGTCTAAAAATTATATTTTTTGAAAATTTTTATCATTTATATGTTTTTAGAAATTTCTATCAATTTGTGCATTTCTGCTATTTTTTAGCATTTTCCTGCATTTTTTCATTTCCTGTAATTTTTATATTTTAATGCAATTTTTGTATTTTCTTTAATTTTTTATGTTTTTTATAATTCTATTTAATTTTTTTATTATTTCCCAAATATATATATATATGTATATATATGCAGTTTTTATTTTTATTCAAAAAAATTGAATTTTTACGTTTTTTAGTTGAAATATATATTTCTATGTTTTTATGCAATTAAAATAGAGAGAAGGTAAAAAAGTGTTAATTAGAATAATTGAATTAGAGGGTCAAATGGGTGGTAAAGTGGGTTGTGACCCACTCTGACCCACTAACATGGGTGGCAAATGGGTCTCACCCAACCCACCCATTTGCCACCCCTCGTTGTATAACAATCCTTAGTATTTGGCGAGTGGCCACAGACAAAAGTTTTGACATTGTTAGCTTTTGCGATAACACAGAAGAAAATAATAATGTAGTCGACTGCCTAAATCCTAATAAAGAATAAAAGAGGAAAAAGAGTACATGGTGGCAGGTCATGAGCCATGACCACCCAAAACTTCACCTACAATTAGAGTTCACATCTCCGCCAATCGGGAGCGGAGATGTGATATGCACTTACTAGAAAATATTTATTTGGGTAAATGTATTTACCTATGTTCTTTTATTTTCTAGGTAGATAAGGTGATTGTTTATTCATAAAAATGTCATTATTAAAAGGGGTAATTTTGTTCTATCCAAGTATTGGTAACTTTTTCCCCAAGTAGAAAAGTTATTTATCCACTTAGGAGATAGGTATTGCTTATCCATTTACTCGGCCCAGGGAAAATGATTTTTCCGTGAATCCCACACAAACCTGAAAAAGGAGCACCGTTATTTTGGTCAATGAGAACTAAAATACCATTGACCAATTTTCCCCCCTCTCAAAATCCGAAAAAAAACTAATGAACCCATAATGATATTTGGATTTTATGACCCATAAAGAATCCAAGTCAAGTATTTGCTTTATATAGTATATATAATATGTAGTACTAATTGTAAAGGCATGTGCCAGGACCACCCAAAACATTTGTCTAACTAATCTCATCAATTTCTAATATGTAAGCGCACATGCTATGCACATGTGCAATTAAGTGTGCATAGCATACTGCACATATGGTATATGAAAGGGCATGTGCCATGACTAGAGGTGTCAATTGGACTGGATTTGGTCCAATCCGATCTAGTCCAATGTGAATCCACTTACAAATGGATTGGATCCAATCCAGTCCAAATCTAATATAAACCAAATCCAATCCAATCCATTAAAATGTAAATGGACTGGATTAGATCCAATCCAAACCGAATGAAATATCAAAAATTATATAAAAAACATAACATATAAAAAATTACAAAAATATATTAAAATGAAGAAAATCTGAATATTAGAAAAAGATACCCTTTTGGCATTGAAAAAGCACTTTTATGAAAATACTTTCTTAGAAGTGTTTTTATAAAAGTATTTTTGTATAAGTGTTTTTATAAAGTACTTTTGTATAAGTGCTTTTGTACTTTACAAAAGAACTAAGTACAAAAGCACTTTTATAAAAGTGTTTTTGTAAAAATACTTTCATAAAAGTGCTTTCGTAAAAGTGCTTTTATAAAAGTGTTTTCGTAAAAGTGTACAAATACAAATATGTACAACACAAATACATACGAAATAATACACAATACAAGGCTTTACGCTCTACACATTTGTATTTATGCTCCTTCCAAATGGAGCCTTGGGCTCAATTTAGGAGTACAAATACAAATATGTACAGTACAAATCTATACAAAATATAAGGTTTTGCGATCTACATATTTGTATTATACTCCTTAAGGCTCAGTTTGGAAGGAATACAAATACAAATATGTACTATACAATTCTATACAAAATATAAGGTTTTGTGATCTACATATT